TGAAATATGAAGACTATTGGGTTGTAAAGATATAGGGATTAGAAACCTGTATACATGTATAATAAAGTTATATGTGTAAAAAGTACTAACTAATATTATGAAATATGAAGACTATTGGCTTGTAAAGATATAGGGATTAGAAACCAGTATACATGTATAATATAGTTATATGTGTAAAAAGTACAAACTAATATTGTGAAATATTAAGACTATTGGGTTGTAAAGATATAGGGATTAGAAAATCAAAGTTAGTGATAAAGGCTCAATTTCTTTTGGAAATCAATCTTAATAAAATATGAAAATAAAATATAACAATTAAGGTTTCAGAGAAGTGCAGACATAAGATACTCTTAGTAATTTTTTTTTCGGTGAAGTTTATGGTAAATAAAATTGAATAATTGAATCACCGATATTCATATCATTTAGTAAGCTTTAACTTGAGTTCAAATTTGAACCGGCCGTAGGTATTAGGATTAGCATTGAAAGCCAAATATTTAAATGAAAAAAATAATGATTAAATGTTTACCTTATTTTGATAAACACGGTCACAGGTTCCAACTTATCAACAGATCTATTTTGAACATTTAAAACATTTTAAACATTTTAAACATTTTAAACATTTTAAACATTTATCATTGAACAATCATAATAATTTGTTATGTTTTTATTATTAAATGCAAGTGACCTAAACGGTCAACAATAATATAAAAAATCACACTAATTAGTAATCAAAAAATCAGAAAAACGAACGAACAACACAGATAAATATTTTCAAATCACAAAAAAAACTATCAAGTCTGAGACCGAATTTAAAGAATTTGAGCCTTGGCTTAAATTTGAGACGTGGCTCAAATATGGTTGGTTCCACTTAAAATCCTATTCAACTGTTTCAAGATTTACGTCGGCGCTCAATTGAAACCGGGTTTTTTGCGGATTTTAGACGCAGTTCAAATTCATTAAATTCGGACTCTGGAATGTATTAATATCTAAGGCACTAGCTGGACAATGGACATAAAATTAATTGTTAATCTTACCAATTGTAAACATTGAGCAACGTTTTACCAATAAACATTCCATTACAATTTACAATTTACTTATAGTATAAATACATAAGAATAAGTACAATTTTTCACTCACTTCATTAAAGCTTACAACCTTATGAATAAAATTCTAAATTTTTGTTCATGCCTCAAACAACTAATTTGGATGTCAGAATTTTTCTGTTGTGAATTTCAGGATCCAGCATTGATGTCAATCTTAAATAAAGACCAACGGATTTATTTAAGTTCTCTTCGATATCCCGTAGGGTTAACTTTAACTGAGGGATCAAGGGTTCTCAAATTTTAAAAGTGCCCACCTTTGATATCGAGATCAAACATTCAAGATTTCAGACATTTTATGCAAAACTTCCGACCTCTTCCCATTTCAAGTTTTGGATAAATCTGCAAAGCAAACCTTCCAATTTTCGTAACATCATCGCGTAAGGTGGGAATAATTTTCCGAAAAACACCATTTTCGGAAATCTGGTAGAGGACAGAAACAAAATCGGTATCCAAGAATCTATTCGGAAATTGTTTTTCTGAATTTTATTTCCTCGGAATTTGTCCGAAGTTGGTCTTTTCGGAACTTGTCCGGTCCGCCCGAACACCCACCGTAATTCTAATTCTTTAAATTTTATAATTGACCTGGTTAAAATTGTAAAAAGTAGATACTAAAAATACTGAAAACTTGAGGAGAAATGATTCTTATGATTGATCGATTGGCGATTTGTTTACATTTTCTGCGGCAATGATGAAGATGGTTTTGGTGTGTATCCGTACATAAATATCGAGGATATAACGAGCCCCGCCCCGAGGGCGAACTGGACAGTCACGTTGAAGTCGAAGATGAAGATAGAGGCAATACAGGTGATGATGATAGCCAAGGAGCATGCAAATCCCTAAAATAACAAAATATTAAAAAGGGGATGAAACTTAGCATATTGATATCATTTGTGTTTGTTTTAACTAAAATAAAAAATGGGAAAAAATATTTTTCCCCACTTTTCCATGTCTTTTAAAGCCTTTTCCAATCTTTTTGAAATCTTTTTGAAAGCTTGGTGGATATCAACATTGTTAATTTTTTATTTTGTTTATTGTTAAATAATCCTCAGGAACATGTAGAGTTATGATAAGGGTGTTTTTGGAGACTTGATGTCTAGCTGATGATGGTTCTGAGAGACTTTGTGAATGGTAATCTTGTATCAGCAAATCACGGATACTGTCTAAGTTTATCACAGTTTTTTTAACATATTCACTGTGATTGACTGTGTTACTTCCTGTGAAGATAGTTTAAATTTCTTGGAACCCTCAAGGTTTCTTATACTGGTTCAGGAGTTTTGTAATTACAAGCTAAACGGGTCATTAGCCATTCTTGTCACTCTGTTGTGGTTGATCTTTCTAAACCAGGTTGCAGGGTTCACATCACAGAATCCATGAATTATTTTAAATGTCTGAATCATGTCGGCCCGCTCACGTCTCAAGTGAAAGCAAATTCAGCTCATTCAGTTTCTCCTCATATGAATTGAAATCGAAAGTCGGTCTACATTGTTATATACTACGATAACTGTACAGTGTACAATGTACAGCCCCGGGCTAGTGGGGGACCGCAAATGAGATAAAAGAAAAAATCTGTTCGCCCCAAGGTTCCAAATTTACCTTGAGAATATTGTCTGCGTATTTAACGACGACGGCAACGAGGAGACCCCCTAGGGCGTTCTGCATCACAGTAAACCACACAAAGTTGTCGTAACCAGTGAAGAATCCCTTTTCAGAGATGACTGATCCATCCTGAAATTTCAAAATTTATTTTAAAAAGATCACATCAAAAAACTTGCCAAGGGAATGTAATAAGAGGGGGTATCCGTCCCACCCCAAATCATATTTTCTTTTTTTTTATATTCTCCTTCAGAAGATTTCTGAAATGTTCAACAATTTAAACGCATGTAGACACTCGAAAAAAATTCAATCTATACCTCCCACTTGTTAAAAAGCAAGAGGACAACTTTTTAAACAAAAATTCTAATGACTAAGTCACTTAAAGGCGGAATTAATATAATTTTGCCAAGTTCAATGTAAAGTTTTATTTCATTTATCAATCAAAAAACATATAATTTGCTTGAAACAAGATAAACGTCGCCAATTAAAACAAAAATCTTGCATGATTCTACCACCAGTCTATTAAATGAACCATTTAATGCAAATATAATATTTCAGACAGGGGTGGATACTCTTTACCTTCAAGATACTCTTTTCCTCTTAACAACTACGTTAAAAATAAACTTTAAAATTTTCATTGAAAAAAAGAACATTTTTGGGGAAATAAAGTTGATATAGAATGTGAAATCAAATTAATGAAATAATAAAATCCAATTATAGTGTTTAAAAAAATATCGTATTTAATCCTAGCCTTGACATTATTAATTCGAAACAAGTAGAAAATAAACTATTAATATTATTTTCAGCAAGTTTAAAATTTTGTATATATTAATTTATCAATATAGTTTTACTTGGTTCCCTTGGCATTATATTTTAATAGATTCTTAAACATAATTACTAATCCTTAATCCGCTCTTAATAAAGTTATTAGGAGGTCGGAATTTTTGTTTGAAATAGCGCTCAACTATAAAGTCTTTAAAATTACTATCCAAAATGGAAATATTTTGAAGTGCTCAAGTGCTAAATTCGCGAGAGAAAAAAACACCCGAATTTGGTGTTTCACATTCTTTCATTGGTCTATAGCAGATTTGATGTCTTTAAACCATATTTTCAGTCTGAGCCCGCGATTTAAAAAATTCGGGAAAATACGGCTCGGGCCAAGCTGTCGAATTGGGCCTTATTTACAGCTTGAGCTTTTAGATTCAAGCTGCATTTTATTTTCCACAGAGTATAGTTGAGTTCAAAAAAACGGTTTAGTATTCTATTCGGCGGAGTTTCACGGTTGGAATTGGCGTATTCCGGGTTTTGATGAGAACAAGACTCAACATTGAGCCTTATTTTCCACTAAAACCAACCAAGGTCGGTTTTATCTTCATTAGGCCAAACTCCTGAAGTCGATCCGAAGATAAATCTTGCAGCTGTCAGTCACGTGACACAAGCTGTTGTCAGAGTTGGGTCGAAGATCGGGTCTTAAAGTTGGGTTTAAGGAATTATGGCTCGAGCCGAAGTTTTTAAATCGTTGGGGTTAAGATCTAAATCCAGATAAATAAGTTAACGCAATCTGTCGAAACAGAAAAAAGGTTTCCGATTAACAGTACAAAATTTCCAACCTCTATGCTTCCTAATCAAGGGGTTAAACACTTCAATTTCTAAATAATTTTCATAACGTTTCCTCCAATTTTGAAGCTAAGTAATCATTTAATTTTTTTTAGAAATTCAACCAATTATTTGAGCAATTCTGGAGCACTGCAAAAATGCATTTTGCACAACAGTAAAATAATTCTGCAGCCCGTTTGTTCTAATAAAACCTTTTACAAAACAATAAAATTCAGTCCAGTACATTATAGTTGAGCCAAGTACACCACAGAGGCATTTTTACAAGTTTTCATATTCAACTGGTATTTCTTGATTGTCACCGAATTATTGTTCAAAAATCTCCAAGGTTTCTAGGATCTAATAAACCTAAATGAGACTAAAATCCTAGCGCAGGTGGTAAGATCCCAAAGTGGGACGGAGAACGTTTAGTATCAAGGCATAACCTGAGACAGGTGGTAAAATCCCAAAGTGGGACGGAGAACGTTCAGTATAAAGGTATTCCTTAAGGCTTAAGATAGGTTCTAAAAAACAAGTGGAACTGAGAATATAGTTTTAGAGTGAATCTTGAGATGAATTTTTATGAAGCTAAGTAGGACGGAGAGTAAAATATTAAGGTATGTTGCATTTAACCCAAATGTGACATAGTTTCTAGGTATACCTAAGATAGTTTCTTAGAATCCTAACGGGACGAAGACTAGTATCAAGGTATACCTTGAGTAAGGTTGTGATTAATCCTAACAGGACGGAAAGTTTAAAATGAAGGTATATATTGAGATAGGTTGTAATTAACCCTAGCGGGACGGAAAGAAGTATCGAGGTACACCTTGAGATAGGTAGAAATTAATCCTAACGGGACGGAGAGTAGTATCAAAGTATACCTTGAGATAGGTTGTAATTAATCCTAGCGGGACGGAGAGAAGAGCAAGCTGTACGTTCCTCATCCAGACGGATATATCGGAACCTAACCAAACTCAGTTTTAGACAACTTATTAATATAGATTCAACAATTTTAAACAATTCATCAACAGGCCAAAATATAACTGGTATGGACGACGAAAATTAAATTCCGATAATACGAGTCATTTTGCTAAAAAGAGAAAGACGAAATCAAAAAATTTTGCAGCCAAATTTCTAAATGGTAATTCAATACTTCAAATATTATTTTATGTATATTGTATAATAATGATATTTGATTAATAAATTTTAATTTTGATTTAATCATTTCATGTCTTACAATGATGAATTAAATTGATTCTACGTTTATAGATCAAGGAGAAAAAGCTAATTGAAGAAAGGAAGTTTTTAATAATGCAAGAGTAAAAGAAAACTTGAATGAAAACGGTGAGGCATCAGCAAGAGGGAAAAAACAAATGGGAGTTTTCATTAGATATTTAACAAACTTTAAAACTGAGTTTTTCCTTTAAGTATTTTTTCAAAGTAAACTCCAGCAAATCCAGAGAGTATACAAGCAGTTAGAGCAGCAGTAAACCCAACCATCTTGCTTTGCTCAGGACCTAGAGAATATTAAGCTGTTAGAGAATTAAACCCAACCATCTTGCTCTGCTCAGGACCTAGAGAATATTAAGTTATTAGGGAATTAAACCCAACCATCTTGCTCTAGAACCTAGAGAATATTAAACTGTTAGGGAATTAAACCCATCCACCTTACTTTGCTCAGGACCTAGATAATATTAAACTGTTAGGGAATTAAACCCAACCATCTTGCTCTGCTAAGAACCTTGATAATATCAAACTGTTAGAGCAGTAAACCTAACCACCTTGCTCTGCTCAGGAAGTAGCTGTTGACTAATTTTACATAAATAATCTTGAACGTAACCTATAATTCGAAAAAGTGTCAGGAAAAAGTCTTTAAATTTATCCTTTTCAGCTTTATAAAAAAAAAATCGTGAAAATATGCAATTTTACTGAATACATTATTTTTAAAACCTCTGCTTACCTTGAGATGCCTGTTCTTTAACATCTGATAATTGAACCAAGGCAACTCCACCAATAAGGATTAGTAAAGAAATCCACTGCAACCAGATAAATTAACAATTTGATTTAGTTAAACAAATTTTATTGTTTCTTGCTTGCTTAAATTCATCAGCTGATCAAACATTTCATTAACTGATCAATCAATAAATCAACTGATCAATAAATCTTATTTATGACTTGGATCCGGATTTCTATGAAGGACGAATCCAGGAATCCACTAACCCGCATGTGTGGGTAAAGAACATTAAAGTCTTTCAAATGTTTGTTTTTTTAGTTTGCAAATCTTAGAAGTTTTCTATTTTGCATTCTCTAAATTCAAGTTGTTGACTCCTAGATTAATTATTAACATTGTGCGAAGCATCAAGTGTCACTTAAACCTTCGAGAACTTTTTCTAAATCTTATTCCGCACATTAATTAGTAATACTCTTTTTTACATCGGACAGTTTTATTTTAAAGGGACTGTTAAAGTAATTTAAAGTGACATTTTATCGAAAGTGTTTCATGTCCGATTCACAATAATACATAAAAATAATCAACTTTTATTTATCCAGTAAAACAAGGAAAATTTAATAATTTTTGCCGAGACAAAGACACGAAGACTAAAGAGTACCACTGTAAATAGGACAAAACTACAAGTACATTCCCTTTAAAGAAAATCTTAACGTTTTTATGTAATATTTCTTTTCATTAAAAGTTTTGTTGTTAAAATTGTTAAAACTTTGTCTCAACGAATGTTAAGAAGGGAAATAAAAGAGTGTAGAAAAGGATATNGGGGGATTTAATATAATTTTTATGACTTAGCAAGAAAAAGAATTTCATAAATAACAATACTCTCCTTAATCAATGTTAATTTGAGAACCAAACTTTTTCTATTAAAAGTCAACTCACTCAACTAATAATTGTTAAACCAAGCTAAGAACATTCATGTGGTTCTACCGAGTTCCCCCAATCAATATTTGAGGCAAATCGGTCAAGGGGTTTATAAACCCGGGAAATTGTAACTACCCCATGATTTTGATCTCTGAGAATGAGAAAAATTAACCCCCGCGATGTTGTGACATTCCTAAAGCCGCGGGACGGTCCCGGGCTTTCGGGCTTCTACCAAAGAAGCAGAGATCCCATGGGCCGTCCTAGACTTTTAGGACTATTCCAAAATCCCATAGTCCCACATGGTTAAGATTTGATTTTTCTTAAAATAGTTAACGTAAAAATTAACCCCATGGTGTTGAGCCTCTAGGTTTTTTGTGACTGCCGTGGGCTTCTGTGCCTCTTTGTCAAAATCCATGAAATCCTTGGAAGTGTCCAGAAAAAAGGTGTAAGAACTATGGGACTTGTTGATCAGTTTATGAATTGATTACTCTATTGATTAATTGATCCGTTAATTTATTGTTTGATCAAGTGATTAATTAAATGATCAGTTTAGTAATTGATTTGTCAGTATATTAATTTATCCGTTAATTTATTATTTGATCAGTTGATTAATTGATTGACCAGTTGATTTATTGGTTAATCTGTTAATCTATTGATTACTCTATTGATTAATTGATTACTCTATCTTTTAATGAATTGATTGATCTGCCTGTGTTGAGATAAGCTTCTTGTTGAGCATGGTGACCGCAAATACAGCTGTCGTCAGAATCTTCAGCTGATAAGTGATCTACGAAAACAAATTAGTTTTTTATAAGCGCATATTTCAAATCAATCAAAAAAAAGTGATTTATTCTTAATCTTTTGCAAATCAAATGCTGTTATGAATCAAAACAAAGTTTTTAATTAACACTTCAGCAGAAAAAAAAGAAATTAAAAATCCTACTGAAAGAAAAAATTGACATTGAACTAACAAGATCCTACTCCATTAATATTTAGTTTATTTCAGCAAACAACCCCTAAATTACGGAGTGGAGGGAAGAGGGGGATAATCTGAGCGGTTCAAATACGTCTAAGTATAGGTGACGACATCTAGTTTAGATGCGCAACATAAAGAAGATGCTCCCTTTCTTGACCTGATAGGTGGCAACATCTCTAGGTTAGATGCTGCAACATAAAGAAGATGCTCCCTTTCTTAACCTGATAGGTGGCAACATCTCTAGGTTAGATGTGCAATATAAAGAAGATGCTCCCTTTCTTAACCTGATAGGTGGCAACATCTCTAGGTTAGATGTGCAATATAAAGAAGATGCTCCCTTTCTTAACCTGATAGGTGGCGACATCTAGTTTAGATGCTGCAACATAAAGAAGATGCTGTCTTTCTTTACCTGATAGGTGGCGACATCTAAGTTAGATTAGGGTTTCCACCGGAATTCCGGGTTACGGTTTACGTACGGAAATGATCCGAAAATTTTTTTTATTTCCATTATGGAAAAGGTTCCGGAAAACCGGAATTCTGGAACGATTTCCGGAACGATTTTTTTCCCGTAAAACGGAACTTTCCGGAACGTTGTTCCGGAATTACGGATCGTTACGTAATTCCGGAACGTTCCGGAATATCGTTCCGGAAATTTTCCGGAAAATCGTTCCGGAAATTTCCAGTTTCCGGAACAATTGGTACCATAATTACATTAAAGTCTTACATATGTAAATACAACACGAGTTAGTTAACACTAACAATATATGGATGGATGCCAGACGGTAGAAAAAGTTATACTCAATAATCAATCTATATATAAATTTGGCTTGTCTGTCTGTTTGTTTGTTTGGGTGTCTGTATGTCTGTTTGTATTCAATAAACGTCAAAACGGCTGAACCGATCGGGCCCAAATTTTTTGTGGAACATCTAGGGACCCCAGGGAAGGTTTATGAATGATCAAAATTTCAAATACTTGTCTCCATCAAAATTTGATCTCCATTAAATTTTTTAAAATTTTGAAAATCCACGAATTTTTTTGTGAAAATCCGCGAATTATTTTTGTTTTGTTTTACGATGCACACAAAGAGACCATGTTCACAATTAATTTAGAAGATGATAAACCGAGGGAGGGGGGACTCTACCACTAGCAGGGCAGTAGCTAGCGGGAGGGAGGGGGCAATGATCCTCGATTTTTTTTTCAAATTTTCAAACTTTGTAAATATGAATTTAAATAAAATAAGAAATAATTCTTAAAGTTCCGGTTTACGGAATGGAAATTTTCCGGTTTACAGAATGGATATTTTCCGGTTTACGTTACGTAAACCGTAAAAATTTCCGGTTTACGGAATGGAAACCGGAAATTTTTCCGGTTTACGAAATGGAAACTGGAAATTTTACGGTTTCCATTCCGTAAAACGGAAATTTTTCCGGTTTACGTAAACCGGAAATTTTCCGATTTCCATTTATACCGGAATTATCCCGTAATTCCGGTTTACGCAACAAATTTCCGGATCATTCCATTTCCAAAATGGAAATTTTTTCCGGAAAAATGGAAACCCTAGGTTAGATGCTGCAACTATAAAGAAGATGCTCCCTTTCTTAACCTGATAGGTGGCAACATCTAGTTTAGATGCTGCAACATAAAGAAGATGCTCCCTTTCTTAACCTGATAGGTGGCGACATCTAGGTTAGATGCAGCAACATAAAGAAGATTGTTTTGAATTAAGTAGATGAAGGAAGGAACACAAACCTAAAACAAAACAAATATAAAAAAAGTGATTATTTAACCCTTAAAAGTAATAGTAGTGCTATCCATACTCCATAGCTTCCCGTAAGTTCTTTAAACTACCTTGAGTGTATCAATGGGTTGCTTGATAATAGTGCTATCCAGAGCTCCCCACCAGTTCTTTAAACTTTTCCCTTCATCATTCCACACTAGCAGTAGGCAAGCAAACAACTTCACTAAACACAGGGGTATTTATTTATTTTTAAAATCACCACTAAGCTTAGTGATTAATCTTAAAATATTGAGGTTTTAATCTGAATAATGACTTATGGGAAAATAAATATTCTTAAAAATATAAACCTAAGTTTAAAAAAGTTGCGTGTAATCTTTTGCCTCCAAAACAGCATTGAAAGATATTTTCTGCTTCGCATGGGAGTAGCCAATGTTTGGAAACGTGCATACCTTTGGCTTACAAATATTTTAACAGCTTTATTTTCTAAAAATTCAATTCTTTCGATTTAGAATAAATGAATATATAATGTTAGAGTTTCAATTACACGCAATACTAGGAAAAATATCAACATCTGCATACTATAATAAAAGATAAAAAAGTTTCTGCGAAAATCTATAAAAATGAACGAATGAATGAATCATAAAAAAGTTTTTTGTAAGGTCATATTTAAGACATAAGAATTTAAGACAAAAAATACTAGAAACTGTTCTTAAAATAACAAAATATTACGTTGCAAGATAAGTTTTGATCAGGAAAAGCCGTATTTATCCATCTGTTTACAGCGTCTTTTATTAATGTGCTTAAACTTATGAACTATAATACAGAAAGCATAATTTAATCTTCATATCATTATATATCATTAAATAAAATAACCTTCTGTGTGGGTAAACCTGTTTTTACCTGAGCTCATTTTTTTGAAAATAAAAAGTACTGTATTCGAATTTGAGAGAGTTGTATAGTTGTTTACTACCCCTAAAGCTACAGAATCCCGCCCCCCCCCCAAAAAAAAAGTAACGAACCTAGCTCCGACATTGCAACTGCTGTAGTAGAGATGAACATGTCTCCAGGTCTTGTTCTAGCATACCGCATACTCAGTCCGAGCACTGCATTCTGTCCCGTCAATGTTACCAAGCTGAACATTAGAATATCTAATTCCAGTATCTACGGTATTCCATATAGACTGTAGATATTTCTTGTATCTAATATATTACATGGGCAATATTGAACATGTGGCCGCAGCGCTTGGCCCCCTAACCTGTCCTAGCCGCAGCGCTCTAATCCCACCTTCCCCCTCCCCCAAGTCAGATCCTAAAATTCCGGGTCAAGAAAACTAATTTCTGCAGTTGTATCCTAAATGAAACTGACCCGAGCGATGATTTATTTTACAATTTCTTATCCCAAGGGACAACAACAAGACATAACAAACCACTGCAGAAAGGTTTTTAAGGAAGAGAGATCGCTCTCCCTTGCATCTTACCCTATTAAAGTATGATAAAAATTAATTATTTTTTGTCGCATCCTGATAAAAAACGCCAACTAGGAATCAAAGTATGAACATATTCATTTTTTAAAGATTAATTCTTTTTCGTAAATCTTAAACGGATTGCAAGCGTAATTTCAAATGACCCTCCATGTAAAGATGGTAATGACCGATTCACAACGGTGCCCTGAAAAGCTTTGTCTGTTCAAGTATGAAATAGAAATCAATGTTTATAATTTGCAAACTGATTATTTTCAATTGCGGTTTCTCTACCAAAGTGACTTGCGCCTAAAGAACCTAAAGAAATTATCAGAATCAAACACTGTTGAAGCATCGAAAAACGATAGATGTTTCAAGGTTACAGTTGTAAATCGGGCATTGCCAACTTTGAATTTGGGGTATCTTGAAATTACGCTTACGTCTCTTTAAAATTAACTAACCTGACATATTTAAGGGTTTGGTCGGCCGCTCCTTTCTTGGCCAACGTGTCAGAGGTCATTTCTTTGTCGCTCCCTATTTTGTCTCCTATGTACAAAATCTGAAGAAAAAAATCTAGAACTAACAAATAAATAAACATTTTAAACATGGACGATTATACTAATTAACGTGATTTAGACAGTTTTCTAGATTTGAACGAATAAAAAATTCCAATTAAAAAGGAGAGCATTGGAACAAGCTAAAGTGCCGGTAAATCGAGATAATCCTTAGTAGTTCTCAAAAGTCCAGTGAATTGATTTCGACACGTTTTAAAATGTCGTCTTTGTAAAGCTTGAGATTAAAAATTGATTTAGACAACAAATTGATATTCGTTCAAACGTAGCACGAAGTGACGAAACTACAGAATAATTTTAGAAAATTAAGACTCACTTTCAAGAAGTTATTGCCCTTTGCACAACTTATTTTAATGTTACAACTCTTTACTTTACTTACTGGTAATTTATAGTAAAAAGGAGGTTACTGTAAATATAGTGTACACTTATACTCTTCTCAGGGTTATCGTGTATATATATGATGAAATCAATCGGTTGATTGTACGAATTGTTCAGTTATTTTGTTGAACTACTGACAGAGCAATCAGCGAATTTCAATTTATCAAAGATAAGGATTCAACATAATAGTAATTAGGTATAAAGAAATAAACGATTTTCAACAAATCAATCAATTATCTGAGATAATTTTTATCGCTGAAGACAAAGTACATTGCAATGGATAGCATGTTTATTACTTTCTACAGTTTTACAAAAAGAATTTAATTAGTCGTGGCTTATTTTTATTTAATTCTGATCCGTGAAGTTAAATAGTTTTTGATTGGGGTCTATTAATTTTTTATATGACTAGATTTCAACTATTTTCACCAAAAAAAAATATTTATTTTGAAATTATTATTTCAGTGTTATAGGTTAGGTTAGGCGGAGCGCTGAGGCCAGGACAGGGGTCTGTCCTAGTGAACGATTTTTGGACCCCTTCCAGGCCCCCCCTCCTATCAATTTTGTGCATGACCAAATTTTATTTAGCATTTTTTAGAGTTAGGTTAGGTTAAGGCACTTTCTGGGCCGGGCGCTGCGGCTAGGACAGGCTAGGTGGCCGAGCGCTACGGCCACGGGTTAGGTTAGTTAAGAAACTTTTTGGGCCGAGCGCTGCGGNAATACTAATTTGGTCATGTACAAAATTGATAGGAGGGGGGGGGGGTCCAAAAATCGTTCTCTAGGAATATACCCAGGACAGGCCTTTAATTTTAACAATTTTCATCTAAATTAGTATATATTTAGGGTTAGCTGTTAGGTTTAGATACTTTCTGGGCCCGGTCGCTGCGGCTAGGACAGGAGAGACAGCCGAGCGATGCGGCAAGGAAAGGCTAGTGGGCCAAGCGCAAGCGGCTAGGACAGGCTAGGGGGCCAGGCGCTGCGGCCACATGACAAACTTTTTCTTAAACTTGAGGTGCTGCTTGAAGACCTATATCTTTTCTAAATGGCTGTTAGATTCTTTTTATATATTTAGATTATCCTAAAACCCCTGTGTTTTTTTTTTGCTTTTGCTATGAATATATGTTTTCTTTACAAAAAGCTCGCCGGAAAAAAGACAGCATTAAAATATATTGCGGAATTAAAGGATCCATTCAAGGATAAATTTACGAACGGGAAAAGTTATTTTAAGTTGAAATCATTATAAATCAATGTTAGCTACAATTCATACAATGTTTGTGAATGAAAAGATTATCAGAACATATTCATTTTGTTCATTCTCAACATGAAACACAAGACAAATGCAATTCAAGTGGAGTATTGTGACAAAAACCAGTCATCCCCCCCCCATGACCCCTAATTTACCCAACTTTGGGGAGGGGGGGGGGTAGGTTCAAAACCGTTCTCCAGGAAATTACCTTTTATTATATACAGATAAAAATGAAGACAGTTTATTTAATTTTGCTGGCACCTGTTCTAGTTCTAGGTAAATATTATAGTGTTTTCAATAGAAAGATATCTTATCATCTTTATTGACGCTTTTTTAATTCAAGTCTTTTCTTTTTTTTTATTTTGATAATTGCTGCCTTTTTTCATAAAACTGTTATCGAATTCTGTTCTTTTTTCATATAATCTGATCTTATTTTCTTTATTTGTAATCTATTTTCATGAAATTTGTTCTTATTTTTCTGATTAATATGTTCTCTTTTCATGCACTCAATTCTGTTCTTTTCTAGTTTCCTCTCCTCTCATATTCCTGTTTTCTATCTGTTTTATTTTAATGAATTCAATAATATGGAATTCTGTTCTAGTTTTCTCTGTTCTTATTTTCATAATTTCTGTTTTATTTGATATTATTGAATTCTGTTTTTTTATTTTCCTTGTTCTTTTTTTTCATAATTTCTGTTTTATTTAAATGAATGTATTGTTATTAAATTCTGTTCTCTTCTAGTTTTCTCTCTTATCATTTTCCTGGTATCTGTTCTATTTTTATGAATTAAATTATATCAAATTCTGTTTTTTCAAGTTTTCTCTGTTCTTATTTTCCTGAATTCTGTTCTACAGTTAGAGAACTCTTTATTAGAGTTTGATTCTTCCACTCCATCTAGGTAACTTTTACTATTTCTGATAATCGCATGAAAAGTTTGACTAAGAGATTATTGCTTGAAATTGTTTACTAAACACCTGTTCAGACTAAGAACCCTGAAAACAGGTGTTTAAACAAAATTTTGCTTCGTGGCAACTTAAAAGATATATAGTAAGAATTCTTAAATAATCTTTAACCTAGATCCAAAAAGGTTTAAAGTTAAACGGAATCGTTAAAATGCTAGGTAATTGATTTGATTTGGTCGATTATACTGATGCAATGCAGAATTTAAATCGACTCAATAGGTATTATGGATCACGCAGTAGCAACACAGATTGATGACTAGTTAATCATGAACTATACTGCCTTACTATGCGTAGTTATTAACGTTTAAACTGCCTTGTTGACATAATTAGAAAAGGTAGAGCTCAGGCTGACGTGACGTCCTACACCGCCACGAAAAATAACCTGGATCAGCTGACTTTTTGTACTCAACGTTCACAAACACACTCTGTACGTAACATCCATTCCCTAACAACTCTTTAAGAGGCACAATTTATTCTATAATGTGTAGAGGTCGTAGAGGTCGACCGTCGACGTCGTAGAGGCAAACATCTTTGTTCATGGGTGTGACTGTTGAGTACCTCAGTACTTGCGTCATCCAGTTCACGGACTTGTTCAGGGAATGGTACGGGGCCGATACGGGGAGTGGGATGGAAGTCATTTAAGTCCCATATATTAAAGTGGTTTTTAATCTTTGTGAAGAAACAATCTCAAGTACTGACGAGGGTCAACCCAGACCGAAATGTATTTTCAATAAATGTGGAACTGACATATCTACTTTTTTACCCTACAGAGGTTTGGTCCATCACCATCACCGAGTTTTTAAATGGTTTTCCTAACTAGGGCGTATACATTTAGGAATTTTTCCGGGGGGGGGGACAAAGCCACTTGAAAATCAGATATCACTGATTATGGGAGAGA